TGAGTGGTCCGAGCACAACATCCTTGAGATCATGTCAGAAATGCAAACTTGTGGGTCCAAACCCACACCAACTGAATCTAATTCTGTATTTTTAACTAGATCCCCCAGGTGATTCTTATGTACACTACAACTAGAGAAAGGTTGATTTAGATTGTACTAGGACCCAGCATTAAGTGACCTATAATCACATAATGAAAAAGTTACTCCTTTTCTCTTTATCTTTCAATCTTTCTGATTCCTTTATGAAGAAAGTCTTCATTCAATGTCAATATATCTTTAATCTCAGTAACAGGGACTACTTTCCTTTGTAATAAGGAGGAAGCAAGCCTCAGTTTCCTGGAAAGGCAAGAGTATTTAGCTCAATTGTAATACATTATTTTGTTCTCATCGTATTCATTAAATGATTGCCTTGTATTTATGGCAACTGATACCAACTTCTTATTTAAGATCGTGAGAGAAACCCCTTTAAAACAAATTAATTCAGAAGAATGAATATATTTAAAGAAAAAGTTAATGAATAAAAAGAACTGCTTCCTTCCACATCATGAAACTCCATTGGTTTGACATTGCTGCCCTCTGCCCCACTCTGCACCCTCATTCGTGAGGTAACTCGACTCTGTGCATGGGATGGATGTGAGGAGAATGCTATATCAGATTGTAAATTTGGGAGTTAGATAGGCATGCAGGTCAGCTTCCCCTTTCTTCCTATCGAAATTTACATAGTCAGATGAGCATTTACTCATAGGAGTGGAGCTTATAAATGTCCAGTCCAGTTGATAGGCTCCTAGCAGATTCTTTGTTTACAATATCTTTATGGTGCACCTACGGTGTGCTGCACCTGGTTTGTGTCTTCTTTGCTTTCCCCCTGCTGCCCTGGAGTACCTCTCCCTTCGGAGGGTTCTGGATCAGCTTCTTGCCAGGGTGTTATAGTGTTTTTGGTTTCTCAACTTCTGAATCTGCTTAGAGGCAAGAGTCAGGGGGCATTAATGAGCTTGGGGATCCTTCTAGGAGAAAAGCCTCAGGTATTCATCATGAATCATGAGACAAAAACAGGTCATTGTTTTTAAGGTGTCTGGCCAATCACCTCTAGGCCTACCTATTATCCATCCAAGCAGATTATGAAGGACTTTAGTGACTACACAGTTAACAGTCTTAGCCAAAACCCTAGGTAAGTTCATCTGCCCCTTCCTTGAAGAGTAATAGCTTTTATGGCTGAACTTCACATCTACATATTCCAGTTCTCTACCATTTAACAAAAGTGGTGCCCCTTTACCCCTTACTATATTACTCTGCTTTATTTTCATCATGATACAAAACTGCACATCTTTGTTTACTGTCTGACTCCCTCCCCTAGCCTGAAAGCTAGGAGCAAAACCATTTCCATATTGTTCACAGCTATATCCTGAGAGTCAGAACATGACAAGTAAATGAGTCAACACTTCCATATTCCAATTGTTAGAGTAAGAAAACTAGAATGTGTACTTTCAAGATCTAATTTTCAGTCACTCTTCACGATTATTGTTTAACTCTGGAACTGAGGTTTGTATCAGTTGTTGCTGCTGTGTGGTTCTAAATAACTGAATATATTTCTGTCTGCTTTCTTTCTATTCATTGGTCCATTAATGCTCTACCTACATCTGGAAAGTGTTTGCAGTAGCTTATGATAAAGTCAACAGTCTCCAAGCATAAGATAATAGCTTATAAGGAAGAGAATAGGATTCAGGAGATATCTCAAAAGAAATTTTTAAGGTGTAACTTTCTCTTGCAGTCTATGCAAAATCTATCATCCAAGTGCCCTTTTCTACCCTTTGCTGGGTAAAGGTGACATAGGCCTTCAAAACTACTTTGAAAAAATTATTCAAAGTCCTAGAGCAACTTTTTTTAAAACTCAACTTTTCTAAAGTTTATATTTATCTAAGTACCCATAAAGATATCACTTGGGGGGTCAAAGTAATTATTTCATATTTATTCTTCCCTTTCTTGTTTTCTGATGATAATATAGAGGTAGGTAGAGATTAAAAACAGTGTTTTATCTAGTCGAAAAAATTCTTAATGGCATATATAGGAGTATGATTGGCATATTCTGATTTTTGGTTTCCCTAAATATAAAGGTTCATATTGACAATTTCTAAATAATATTAAAGGAAATTATAGAGGAAGACAGGAATTTCTGGTTCATATGAAGATTTCTTTGAGTTTATTGGCATTGGATTTGAAACCCAAATCACCATACAAACCAGTGATGAGAATCTTGACATAGCTACTGGAATATGAGTATTCTTTTCTTTGACATATAATCCGTTTTTGGGGCCGGTGCTATGGCGTAGTGGGTAAAGCCGCCGCCTGCAGTGCCAGCATCCCATGTGAGCGCCAGTTCAAGTCCCAGCTGCTCTACTTCCAATCCAGCTCTCTGCTATGGCCTGGGAAAGCAGTAGGAGATGGCCCAAGGCCTCAGGTCCCTGAACCCACATGAGAAGACCAGGAAGAGGCTCCTGGCTTCTAATCGGTGCAGCTCTGGCCATTGCGGCCAACTGAGGAGTGAACCAGCAGATGGAAGACCTCTCTCTCTCTCTCTCTCTCTCTCTGCCTCTGTATAACCCTGACTTTCAAATAAATAAAATAAATCTTTAAAAAAAGAAATATAATCCATTTTGAATTAACAGCCTAAATAAATTTTATCCAGCAAAGGCAGGAGGATTTAAACTCTGCTTTTCTGAATTATAAGCACAAACTTACCTTAGATAGTAAATGCTCAGAATCACAGAGACTGTGGCTGGTGCTGCTCTAAAGATGAAAGGGGCTCAATAGGGTAATCCTCCACCTGCGGCGCCGGCACACCAGGTTCTAGTCCCCGTCGGGGCAACGGATTCTGTCTACGTTGCCCCTCTTCCAGTCCAGCTCTCTGCTGTTGCCCAGAAAGGCAGTGGAGGATGGCCCAAATGCTTGGGCCCTGCACCCCTTGGGAGACCAGGAGAAGCGCCTGGCCCCTGGCTTCGGATCAGTGCGGTGCGCTGGCCGCAGCGCGCTGACCGCAGCGGCCATTGGAGGGTGAACCAACGGCAAAGGAAGACCTTTCTCTCTGTCTCTCTCTCTCTCACTGTCCACTCTGCCTGTCAAAAGAAAGAAAGAAAGAAAGAAAGAAAGAAAGAAAGAAAGAAAGAAAGAAAGAAAGAAAGAAAAGAAAGAGAAAAGGGGAGGGAGGATGGAAATTTTATCCAGAAATCTATGACAGAGAAGAATGTAACTAAAAGAATGCAGCTTTCAAAACACCATGCCCCTTGAGTTACAGGCACACATGCAGACTTCCAGAATCACACTGACATTTTAATAGCTGTCTATTCCATGACAATCCCATCTTCCCGACTCTTCACCCCCCACAGTGTAGAATAGACTTGGGATTATCATCAGTCTATAATATTAATAACTTGGTTTTTTTTTTCTCTTTACCTTTCACCATGACTTTCCATGCATTATTCCATCTGGACATCACAGCTTTCTTCAAGGAAAGCAGATAGGCATTTTTTAACCTGTTTTGGATATGAGAGGCTGAGAATTTAAATGATTGGTCAAAGATCCTATGATAAGTAACTAGTAGAGCCTACAAAGAGATTCCAAACATCTTATTTTTAAACTTTACACTTTTTGTGCTATTTTTTAAAAGACTTATTTATTTGAAAGGCAGAGTCAGAGCAAAAGAGAGAGAGCATCTTCCATCTGCTGATTCACTCCCCAAATGGCCACAATGACTGGGGCTAGGCCAAGCAGAAGCCAGGAGCCAAAGGCTTCATCTAAGTCTCCCATGTGTATGCAGAAACCCAAGCAATTGGGCCATCCTTTGCTGCTTTCCCAGCACAATAGCAGGGAGCTGGATGGGAAATTGAACAGCCAGGACAAACCAGTGTCCATGTGGGATGCCAGCACGGCAGGCAATGACTTAATCCACTGTCCCACAATGCCAGCTCCTATCTACCATATTTCATAGCTTCTTGGCATCCCAGGTGGTTTGATACACCCTGCAGGAGTACCAGAAGATTAAATTATGGAGCTATCTCAGGACTTCAGCCCTGAATGTGAATCCAGGGCAGTGATGAGCTTGAGCAAGGTGACTCACCAAGACCGCCCTGGCAGTGATCAGCCATCTCTGAGGAGAAGAGCGGCTCCACAGTCTGCTCCATCCTAAGGAGAGAGTGCCAATCAGCCACTGTTCTCCCCAAAGACAAGTCCAGTGAATTTGTTTCTAAGGGCGGGGATTTACAGGTCATTCATTATCTCCTAGGTGTTTGGAAGGATCAAAAGTGTCAGAATTTATAAAGGTACAGGTACTTTCAATCTAAATCAATCTGCTCAATGCATATTAAATAATCCATTCACCAATGGGGCCAAACACACCTGTATTGGTACCATCTGATCTCCATGCTCTGAAACACTCACCCCAAAGGAACCAATGCAAAATATAAGAATTGTATCTTTCCTGCCCCCATCTAGTCTGATCTCACAGAAGCTTCCTCCAATGCTTAAAAAAGATACATGCATTCTACTGACACATGTCACAATCTTTGTTTTCTGAAATATATTTTAACCGAGGCAGGGGAAGAAGGATGCTCCCTACTGAGCGCCAAATATGGGCCCAGGACTAACAATTTCAAGAAAATGATACTTTTAATTCTCATGACAGGCCTGTGAAGAGGTGATCTCACAGATCGTGGGAAGAAAGGCCAGGGAGAAGGGAAACACTCCAAAGGCCACACAGTTGGGAAGTCTTAGTGGATCGTCAAGTCTCAAAACCATAGCCATTGCATCCCAGAGATGTTACGGACCCAAAAAGAAGGCTTGGAGAAGGAGAAGGGTCTCGTCTTCTTCAGGAGGCAAGGAGAAATCCACCATCCTCCACGGGGCAAGGGAAGTGGAGGAGTAGGGCGGGAAGAGGGGCTGGGTAGTCCAAACGAGGCGGAACTGCTGGCAGACGCCTTCCAAACCTACCGACACCACAGAGTGCTGCCCGACCCTACGTGGCAGGGCAGAGAACCAGCCCCTTCCCCAGCGCGCCCACCCTCCACGCAGCGGGAGATATCGAAGGCTGCACCCGAGGCCTGGAGAGCCAGAGAGGAGTTGCGAGTTGACAGTGAGGGCGCGGCGGATCGGAGCTGGGGTCTGGTGTGGGGCTCGGGCTCCGTAATGTGAGGGGTTGGGCTGGCCACGTGACTCCAAGGGGCGGAAGCAGGCAAGCTGCCAGCTAGGACTGGCGGTGCGCGGAGCCGAGCGGGGCGGGCTGGGGGCACGGTCTGAATAATTGAGGAGCTGCTGGGCAGAGCGGCCGCCGCCTGCTTCCTGCGCCGCCGCCGCCGCCGCCGCTGCCGCCTCCCGCACCGCGGCGGGAGAGACAGCCCCGCGCAGGACGTGCGGACCACCGGCCACCAGCCTCTTGGGTGAGTCAACAACCCCTTCGTCGCAGTGTCCCCTCCGCGCCCCCTGTGCCCCCACAGGGCCCCCACGATCGGGATTTCCCCCTCTTTCTGGATGAGCCCGGGAGCCCGGGAGCCCGACCTCCGGGAGCGGGGAGCAGGAACATGGCGCGCAGACTGAGGGCGCCCTCCGGGAAGGGGCTCCCTGGAAAAAGGAAGGAGCTGTGTCGGGTTCTCTTTGGCTGGGACCCGGAACGGGGCCCGGACAGCGCGAGGCTGCATTCGCAGACTGCCAGGTGCAGCAGGGACAAACGCAGCCCCGGCGCCACGGGAGTCAGGGGCAGAAGCGGGTGCCTGGCTCAGCGTTCCGGCCGCCGCGTCTAGGCGGACGCCGGGCCCGTCCTTCCCTCCCTGCCTTGGCAAGCACCTGCTCCGCAGGCAGTTCTGTTCTCGACCTCGGACTGAGCCGCAGAGAGGAAGTGATGCTATGGGAGACCGCTGCCTCCTGCATCAGGCGGGGGCAACATCTGCCCTTTTACCTGAGAGCAAACTCTTCAAAGGGACTCCAGCTGAGCCCGGCGCCCTGACCAGGCCGGCGCGCCTCAGGGCCATCTGTTCCCGGGGGGCGGCGACACTCAGAAGGCAGCGAGGGAGACGTGACGGGAGAAGTGTCCAGGGAAGCTTCCTGCACGGCAGGCAGCCCCTGGCAGAGGGCTCGCGCCCGCACTGCTTCTCCCCACCAGAATCCCCTTTTTCCCCCCCGCCCCAAGATTCTCTTCCTACGAATCCAAAGGGCCGGATTAGGCGGTGTGGCCACTCGGGATGTAGCTCCGAGCTCCCCCACCTTGAGTTCCCCTCCACACCCCATGTGTGTTTCATATTGCGGCTTAAAAATAAGACGACTGCCAAATGACGAAAAATGTTCCTGTCACTCCTTGTCCCCCTACCTGTGCGAAGCTCTGTTCTCTAGGCTTTTGAGTGGCTCTGGGAAAGGGATTCTAGCCCAAGCGGGGAGGCAGTCCCTGGTCAGGTTGGGCCTAGGAGCTCAGGATCGTAACCCGTCTCCCCCAGGAATATGGGGTCCCAAGAGAGCGTCGAGGACTGAGTAGCACCCCCGCGGGAGCGCGCGTACCAGGGCAGAAGGGCGCTGTCCGCGGTGCTGAAAGTTCTCGCGGGCTCGGAGCTAACGCAGCCGGGGAACTGGCGGCTCACCGCGGGCCAACATTGCCTGTAAGCAGAACCTGCGCTAGAGCCACATAAAGAGGGTCAGGTGGAGTAAGCTAACTGGAGAAACAGAGAAAGGTGCCCTGTCTTCCTCAGTTGCCTGCCTTCCTGCCTTCCTGCCTGCTTGGGAGGAGGTTCCCAACACTCTTGGGTAGAAGAACAAGGAGTGATCACTCCAGGATCCAGCTTACTAACTTCAGGTGGTGCCTTGTTCCATTTCCTCTGCCTGCTCAGTAAGCCTTCTGGCCCATAAAGATCAAAAAGGCAGTTATATGTGCTATTCTGACAAATATTTCTGTGGCTTTCAGAACAGTAAGGCTACACAAAGCAAAAGGCTCATTAACAGGAGAACTGGGCGTTCTATTCCTGGCTATGGCTTTTTCTCATACCTCCGTATTGCCCTCTAAGCATCCCTGTGTTTTTGTTTCTTTCACTGGTCTTTTTATATTATGAGTAAAATACTGAAAGGATTAGGACAATCTGGGGAAACCAAGTTAAAAGGATGTTTACTGACCACCTACTATCTGCTATACTATTTCATTTAAACTTCACAATAGCTATTAACTTTAATTGTCACACAAATAAAGGCATTGAAATGGGGAATCTTGAACCCTGAAGTTGTATTTGAGTTCAGGTCTTCCTACCTCCAATGTCCAAGATGTTGTCATGCCCCCCATTTAGGTATACAGCTTTGGATAGCTATTGTTAGGGAATATGGCAAAAGAATGACATTAGAGAGAGGCCTGTTTTTCTCTTTCACACATGCTACTCTCCCTTCCAACCCTCTCCTCTTTAATCTGTTCACACACCCACATTCATTCACTCCTACCTCCCAACTGCTTTTATGCATGCTGCTTGAGATACCACTGTTCACACAAGCTGATCTCCAGGACTGTAGAAGCAAGTCTTCAGAAGACTAAATCAGCATGCTTTCCTGAAACAGCAGCAGGACTTCAGGAAAAAGAACTAGAGTCTACATCCACATTTGCTTTCATATTTAGAGTTACACTATTGAGTTTCTGTTGAGGTAACTTTAAGATCATTTGGCACCATTATTTGACATGAAGGAGAAATGGGAACCAAAAGGTGCTCATTAGTTTGAGTCAGATCATTGAAAAGTTAGGATTGGTACTCAGTTAACTTGACTCCAGTGTCAATGCCTTCCCACCACTCCATGGTGCCTTTGATTGTCTTTGTCTGGAATATCAGCATTAGTAAACTAAATTTGGTACTCTGCCTCAAATACCTAAAATGAAAGCAAGCCTTTTGGATTTTGAATACTTTTCTTGCTGTTACCTCTTTTCTGTATTCCAGTGTTGTCTGACTCCACAAATGTAGGAGATAAGATCCACCTTCCTCACTAACAGTTTCCCAACTTGCTTTTATGTTGTCTATTTTTTTCTCTTCTAAGGCCTACTCCCAACAACAAAAAAAATCCCAAAATTGATCCCCTAAGTAACTTCCCTTGTTTTTATGGGGACTTGGCAGAGGCTCAAAACAGACGTAGGCAGAATAAAGATCAATATAATTGTTATTCTCTATAAATGATTACTGAATTCTAGGCATGATACTAAATCTTTTCAGTAGTCATTTTATGGGATCTTCACAGCTTTGTAAAGTAAGTAGTTTCATTAGAGATGATCTTAGAGTTCTAGATCACTCTAACATCAGCAGAACCTAATGTTAAGTTCTTGTTTCTCTTTCCAGCTTATAGTAAAATCTCAACTTCATTAATTGGATTTCTGTAGCCCTAGTCATATCATTGGCAAAAAGGAAATATTTATATTGAATTATTAGTTCTGCCCTGTTCTAATACATGAGGCTTAGAAATTCAAATTCAATTCAAACAGTACTATTCTGCTTTTTCATTTCTTGGTACGTACCACAACATATCCTTCCCATTTGTTATCCTTTAGTTAAAGCTCCTCATATGGCTTTTTGCTAATGCCAACATTCTGCTTCAAACTCCTTCTAGGGGTGGGCACTGTAAAGCAGTGGGTTAAGCCACCACTTGGGATGTCTGTATCCCATACTGAAATTCCAGTTTGAGTCCTGTCCCCTCTGCTTCTGATCGCACTTCCTGCTAATGCAGCCTGGGAAGCAGCAGGTGATGGCCCAAGAGCTTGCATTCCTGCCATCCATATGGGAGACACAGACGGAATTCCTGGCTCCTGACTTTGGTGCGCTTAGCCATGACTGTGTGGGCATGTGGAGAATGAGCCAGCAGCTAGAAGATTCTCTCTCTCTCTCTCTCTCTCTCTCTGCCTTTCAAATACATGAAAATGAGTAATCTTTTAAAAAACTTGCTCTATAACCAATTAAAATACAATTCACAATGATGAATTCACATAACTTCTGTTATACTGTCACTAGGTGATCCTGCAAAGATACTACTGCTGGGATGCTCTGAGCCCAGATTCTCTTTTTTTCTTTTTCTTTTTTTTTTTTTTTTGACAGGCAGAGTGGACAGTGAGAGAGAGAGACAGAGAGAAAGGTCTTCCTTTACCATTGGTTCACCCTCCAATGGCCGCCGCGGCCAGTGCACCACGCTGATCCGAAGCCAGGAACCAGGTGCTTCCTCCTGGTCTCCCATGCGGGTGCAGGGCCCAAGCACTTGGGCCATCCTCAGCTGCACTCCTGGGCCACAGCAGAGAACTGGACTGGAAGAGGGCCAACCAGGACAGAATCCGGCACCCTGACCAGAACTAGAACCCGGTGTGCTGGCACCACAGGCGGAGGATTAGCCTATTGAGCCGTGGCGCCGGCCCCAGATTCTTAAACTACTGAGAATTGCCATACCCGATATAGTAGTCACTAACCACATGTAGCTATTAAATTCAAAATTGATTAATTAGCAATTTAGTTCCTCAGTCTTACTAGCCATACTTCAAGTACTCAGTAACTACAAATGTCTACCTTACTGGACACTGCAAACATAGAAAAATCCTATCATTGTAGAAATTCTATTAGATAATACTGCTCTAGCAAGTGCTAAAAACTAGGCATTGTGAAGAAATAAGAACATAATACTCTGAATCTTCTGCAAGGAAAGGTGAAAAAGCCATTTGCACATGTCCAGAAGCCCAAAAAGGACAAACAGGCCATCAAAGAGAGTACATAGCTTGCCTAAGGAGCTGGCAACTTCAGGGTTTGCATGATAGGGAGTACATTTTACCATAAATTGTTGCATTAATGAAGTTTTCTGTTTTCCTGAATTTTTAGAAATAGCCTGAAAGTTCCTGTTCAGAATTCAAATTCCTGTATTATATATATGTATATGTGTATATATACATATATATTAATGTGTGTGTTTTTTGTATTGCATATGCTTGTGTAAGGGTATGATAATACTGAAATATCAAGAGTTGGAGTCAGTAGTTAGCACATAATTTGCTACTTGATGACATTCTAAAGCCCTCTAGAGCTTCATTCCTTCATCTGTGAAACAATGATGAATTACCATAACTATCTCAAAGGGCTATTGTGAATCTCAAAGTGCAGGTACATGAAAGTACTTTGTAAGGATCATGGCTGAATCTGCAATGGTTGATCCTTTCTTACAATATGATGTAGTCAGTATACAAATGAGTAGCTTAACTGCATTTCTGAATGCTTTAAATCTTTGATATGAATGAATTTTGCTTGTGTTTTCATTTGTTTCACTGAGAAGTGGAATGTTAAAGAAAAAAATATTGGTTGTTGAAATTTGTGGTTGATTAAGTTTTATTAATTAGACTATTGTGCATGATTTGTGGTTTAAGTTTTATGATCTTGAACATTTTCTTCTCAGGATTTTATAT